CTCCCAAAGCTGCTGAACTCAGAAGTGGGGCTGAACGTCCCTGAGTCGGGGGGGGGAGGGGGCGGTGGGAGGGGGGCTTTGGGTGGCTTGCTGTCGCATCAGCCAGGGGGTGCCTAAAAGCTCCAAAGGAGGGCAGTCTGATGGTCAGGCATGTTGGTGTCCAGTTCCGAGTTTACTTTGCCCACAAACCATCCAGTCTGGTGCTGAGGCTTCAGTGCTCCCAGTGGCAGGAGGACTATCGTCTCCCACATTTGCAGAGGCTGGGCAAATGCCCCTGGCACCCGCCTGGGGAGAGCGGGACCTGGGCCCCACCTGACCTCTCTGCTCTTTGGGGCTGGGAAGAACTTGGCACCCAGAAGCCTCCCTGGCAGAAGGCGAAAGCCCGGATGGAGCAATCGGCAGCCCAAAGGGGTCAGGATTAGCTCCCCCTTGGCAGGAAGCCCTTGAGCCAGCCCTGGGTGCTGGGCCATCCCCTCCCAGATCTACGGTGACTCGGGGGGCCAGGAGGGCAGGGAGCTCCCTGGCATTCAGGAGGTCTGGCAGATGCTTTTGTGGCTGCAACGTCCCAAAGGGCTGGGCGCAAATTCTGCCAGAAAAAAAGGCGTCAGGCATAAGCAACTCTAGTGCCACCGTCTGTTCACCCCAGGTCTGCATGCCAGTCTCAGGCGGCCTCTCCCAAGCTCAGCTAAGCAGGATGAGTAGAGAGTTCAGTGCCTGGTCCCTGCAAAGGCCTCTTTCCCCAATTTGGGGGGCGGGGGGGCTTCCAAGGGTTTGGCTTCCCACAAATCTCCCTTTGGGGAACTCCTGCCCCCTCAGACCCCCAGCTCCTGGCCTTCCTTCCGCCTGGTCCTCTGCAGTTCTCCCTGCAAGCCAGGCAGCCCAGCTCCCCTCTCTCTCCTCAGCGCAGTTCCCTCCGGGGGTTGGCCTAAATCCCGGCTTCACTCCAAGGGGGCAGTTTCCAGTTTCCTTTCTTGGACTTCCTGGGCCACTGGCCTGTGGGTCAGGCCCAGGCCCCTCTGCCCCACGGCAAGGGAGCTCTGGGCATCAGGGGCCCAGCAAGACTTCTGTTCCATCAGCCCCTTATCCTGGCCTGCCCAAGGGGAGAGCCAGCGGAGGAAGGGGTTGCAGGAAGCTGCAGTGGCTCTCAGTTGGCAGGTGTGGAACTGTGGCCCAGGAGGCAGCTGTTCTGCCAGGCACCCGATCCAAAGCTTCCGATTCCTGAAGAGTTCCAGCCTGATGTCCTGCCCAGGATTGTGTCCAGCAGGGCCAAAAGAAATGAGCAGGGCCTGGACCCCCAACTCAGCTGCCAATGATGCAGACGGCTCTTGCCTCAGCCCTCCCGCTCCAGAGGCCCCCGTAGCTAGGAGGGGGTGCTGCATGGCTGGCATGTGACTGGGGGAGCCACCCCCAGCCTGGCCCTCGGGGGAACATTCCCAGCCCTTGCCCAGAGGGACCAGGGAGACCCGCAGGTGCTCACGTGTCCAACACTGGCACAACCACCGCCCGTCTGCAGCCCTCCAGCCCAGGGAGGGGCGTTGGGGGTGCTCCAGCTGAGTCAACGACATCCCTGGAGCGGCAGGACTCCAGAGGCCAGGCGGTGGCTGTCTCCTCTGGCCATCAAAGTGTCTGCGGTGGCAGCGGCAGCCAGCCAGGACATCACCACATGGGCCCACTTCCCTCCCTCTCTGGTCTGCATTTGTCTCGCTTCAGCCTCCGGGCCAGAACCAGATGCTTCTTCGCTCCGAGTTATGCAGGTTGGCAGAAGATCCCACTTGGCAGAGAGGCATGGAGGTGGCTTCCCTCCTGTTCGGCACCCAAGCCAGGCACAGGCCTTCGGAGGGGCTGGCTGCCCTGGCAGAAGCAGCCGGATTGCCACCTCCTGCAGCCAGCCCGCCTCCCTGCTCCCCCCGGCCTGGCCTTAGATGGGAAGAATGCCCAGCAGCAGGGCGGGCAGCAGCTGCAAAGAAGGACCACTTGCAGGAGGAAGTGTGGGGCAGGCGAAGGGAGGCTCTGGGGAAGGGGGCAGTCAGGTCACGGGGCTGGCTCTGCACTCATTTCCCTGGCGCCGGGAAGTGGGGGGGAAGACAAGCCAGGCTTCAGTTTTGCATTAGGAAGACGAACCGCTTGCAACAGAAGGGGATCCAGCAGGCAGCGGGCCAGACCCACACGCTCCTCTGCACAAACTGCCAACATTCAGGACATCTGCAAAGGATGAGGGCGCTCTCGGCCCCGGCCCCCAGCCCCCTGCTAGGTAAGGGAGGTGGCTCTCCCGGGGCCCCAGAGCCTAAAAGGGCCCTGCCCCCAGGGGAGAGAAGGCAGGGCCAGGGACGCACTAGGCTGGAGAGTGGGTGAGACAGGAGGGATCCCCAAAAGGCCCTTCTGAAATGCGGGAAAATGAGCCACAAGAATGACATCACCCTGCGAAAGTTCATGCAATATGCCCCCCCCCCGTGAACTGGCCAAGGGGGGTCAAATAGGAACTGGGGAGCAGAAACAGCCGAGAGGCAGAAGGTCACCCTGGCCCTTGACTGCTGCAGGGGCCCACGGTGGCGCTCGGCCTGGACAGAGCATTCCTTTAGACTGCAGGCTCCCACTGCACCCCTTGGTGAAGGGGGGGGGAAGCTCCCCACAGGAACCCCCCCCCAAGGGCTGCCTGTGAGCTCATCTGCCGAGAGGCTGCTTCCGGGGGGGGGTCACTCTTTCCAGGGGCAGAGCCTGGGCCAGCTGTGCTCCTTGCTCGGAGGATCCCAGGCGACTTACTGGCATTGCGCAAGACTCCCCCTCACCCTGCTGGCCTCCTCCCCATCGTGCCCCCCCTTCCCGTTGGCTGGCTGGGACAAGCACCGAGGTGAACCCCCCCTCCAGGTGGTGCTGACTCGCTGCCCTCCTGGCCGATGCGAGAGCAGCCTGGGGCCAAGCCAGACCCCCCCCCCGAGGGTCAAGTCTTCCAATCCCAGGACCCAGGCCGCCTCAGCTCTCCCCCCCCCAGGAGGGCTTTGGGGCCTGCAGGCCGTCTGGACCACCTGCCTCTTCCCAGTCAGTCGGGTGACAGGGCCTGGCCAAGCCAGGGCTTCTGGGATGGGCTTTGTGGTCCCGGGCGTCCTGAGGGGTCTCCTCCAAAGGGGTCGAAAAGGCAGGGGGGCTTTCAGTACAAGGACTCGACTTACCATTCAGTGACCGCTCAGTTACATCACTGAAAAAAGTGACTCAGGATCATTTTTCAGTTACCACTTTTGCAGCATCCCCACGGATGTGTGACCACGTTCGCATGCTTGGCAACCAACTCGTATTTATGACCGCTGCTGTGTCCCAAGGTCACGTGATCCCATTGTGACCTTCTGACATGCAAAGTCAACGGGGAAACCAGATTCACTTAACAACTGCAGTGATTCACTTAACCGTGGTAAGAAAAGTCATGGAATGGGACAAAAGTCACTCAACAAACGTCTCGCTTGGCAGCATAAATTTTGGACTCCATTGTGGTCGTACGTTGAGGACTCCCTGCATAGCCAGCAGAGTCACCCTGAAGGGAAGTGGGGTGCTTCAGCCTCAACCCAAGTTAACCCATCGCACGCGCCCTCTGCAGAGCCTGGTTTGATTGGAGGACCAGCTGAGGGGGGGGCTTTGTGGGAGGCCTGGGTCACCCCACTTGCTGCAAACAACCCCGCCCTCCCCTCTCCAGAACGGGACCCTCCCGTCCAGGCACCCCGAACAATGTCTTCCCCCAGTGGGAAACTGGGCTGTGAGTGGGAAGGCTCCCATTAAGCTCAGAGAGATCATTCACTGGGAGCAGGTTGGCAAAGGTGCCCCCCCCCCGAGGGAACTTAACACCCGGTGAAAGCATCCGGGTTGGGCCACCACGATGCAAAGAAGGTGCTGAGATTCTAGAAAGAGCGCAGAGAAGAGCAACAGAGGAGGCTGAAACGTGTGAAGAACGGGGGCCGGAACTGGGAATGGCCAGTCTAGAGAAAAGGACGAGGGGTGTGTGACGTGATAGCAGTCTTCTAGTGTCTGAGGGGCTGCCCCAAAGAAGGGGGGGGGCTCAAGCTATTCTCCAAAGTCCCAGAAGGCAGGACAAGAAGCAACGGGCGGACACTGAACAAAGAGAGAAGCAACCTGGAACTAAGGAGGAATTTCCTGACAGGGAGAACCACCTCCACTGTGATGGGAGCTCCAGAAGTTGTGGGTGCTCCAACCCTGAGTGTTTTTAAGAAGAGATTGGACCACCATTTGTCCAGAATGGCATAGGATCACCTGCTTGAGCAGGGGTTGGACTAGAAGACCTCCAGGGTCCCTTCCAAGTCTGTGATTCTGTTAAGAGTCAAGTAGGCAATCCAGAGGTTGATTCCGTCTCCAACACCTGGTGGGGGAACCTCTGAACCAGGCTAAAAGAGCCCCCTGCCTCTTCAGCGAGATTAGCGCTCCAGCCCCCCTCCCCCCCGACAGAAAAGAGATCCTGTGATCCAGCCCCGGAGGAGACTCCCAGGAACCACCACTCTGAGAAAGCCATTTATTAAGAGAGGCCGAATGGGCGAGGGGCGCTCCGGGGCTACAGCCTCCTCCTCCTCCTTGCAGCAGAGGCAGCCACCCTCCTCTGCACCTTCCACCAGGCTGAGGGTGTTGCGAGGACCCATTTCTGCCCGCGTGGGGCTAGGCACCGAGGAAGGGCCACCAGGGCTAACGCGCCCGCCCTTCTTTACGGCGAGGATGGTCTGGCACGGCACGGGGCTGCCTTGCTTCTCCCTTCCTCCAGAGGCCCCCACGCGCACCCTGGCTGCAGAGGTCCCGGGCCAGCAGAGACCCCAGCATTTCTAGGGCTGCAGGGGGCTCTCCCCCTGGCCTGTCTGCCCCCCAGGTCCTGGCTCACGTCCGTCCACACGGGGCCAAGAAGCCGGGCCCCGGGCGAGCCTCCTTTTCTCCCCGACATCCAAGGGCAGGACCCGACATCCAAGCAGCCCCGCCCAGCTGGGGGGGGGCTCTCTTCCCTGGGGAGGGGCGAGTCAGTCCTCGAACCACTTGCTCCTCTTGGCCGGCAGGGCGGCCTTGCCAGCCGCGCCCAGGATCCGCTGCTTGTACCGCTCCACCAGCTGCTCGAAACGAACCTCCGCCCGGCCACGTCCAGCCTTTCTCCTCTGGGGCCCCTGAGGACAACCACGGGCCAGGCTCAGAAGGCTGGGGGAGGGGGGGCACAGAGGCAGGTGGCTCTGCAGGGGAGGAGACCCCACCAACTCACCCGGGGGGCAGCTCTGGGCGCCTTCCGCTCTTTCGGCCCGGCCTTCTTCTTCTTCCTGGGAGGGGCCCCCTTCGCTTTGCCCTGGTCGCGATTCCTGCCGGGAGAGAAAGCCCCCCCCCGTCAGCCCAGAGAGCAGCACCAGGGGATTTCCATCCGGGGGGGGCAGGGGAGGGAGGGAGGGGCTCCAAGCTCCCGGGATGGCAAAGACCGAAGCGGGGGGGACAGGCCAGGGACCCGGGCGCTCCCTCAGCGGCTGGATCTACCTGATCTTGGGTCCCCAGTGGGAGGGGAGGGCCAGGACCCTCGGCCGCTTCGTGCCGTCCGGCAGCTCCACCCTCTCCTCCTCCGTGCGGGTCTGGAAGCCTGACCAGGAGACGGCTCCTTTGGGGGCCTGGAGGCTGGGCGGGGGCCCAGGACGCTTCCTCTTCTGCCCAATGTGCTCCGGTGGAGCCTGAGGGCCTCTGGGGGCCCCAGCCCTTCCTTTGGGCCCCGGGGCCTTCTTCAAGCCCCCGGGTGGCTTCCGAGGGGCCCCTGGCTGGCCGGTTCTGGGCGATGGCCCCTGACTTGCTGGCCCGGCAGCTGCTTGCTTCTTCCTCAGGTTTTGCTGCACGAGGGGGAGAAGCGTCACCTGGCAGCCAGGGACCAATTCCACACACACACACACACACACACACACACACACACACCCTGGGCAGGGAGAGCCACCTCTGCACAACAGGCCAGCTGCCTCCCACTACCGGTCACAGCTCTCCAGCCAGGGGCCACCTTGTGCTGCTGACCGGCTTCTGGAGTGGCCGGCTCCTCCCGCAGCCCTGGTCAGACTCTCACCAGGGACGCCACAGCCGGACGCGCTTTCCTCCTCCAGCAGTTCAGGATGCAAACCTGAGGAGTTCCCCCCCACGAGACCCCCGGGGGCACCCCAAGGAGTCTGCTGGAGCCAGCAGGGAGGGACTGGCGCCTGCCCGGGGGAAGGTCTCAGCTCCGCAGTCATGGGGGGGGTGCCGGATGCCCTACCCGGCTGCGTTCGGTGCGCTGCTCCCTCAGCTTCAACTTCCGCCCGTCCTCCAGGGAGAACTCCACAATAGGCCGCTGGGAAGAGAAACAGCCCCACTTGGGCCCCAAAGCAGATGCCAAGGGGCGCCCAGACTTCTGCCCTCCTGCTCGTGGGGGGCCTCCCTCCGACTCCCTGCCTGGTTCCCTCCGTGGGGTGCCCAGAAATCCCCAGGCCCGGGCCCCTCTGGCCTTGCTTCCCTCTGCAAATGCCCCCCCCCCGAGTCTTGGGGTGCCCAGTCGGGCAAGGGAGACGCAAAGAGGAAGGACGCAGGGACTCCAAGGACCCCAGGCGGGCTGCCGGGCCAAGCCAGAACCGGCCCTGTGGCGCTGCTGCCCCTGGAGAACCTGACCTCCGCTGGGGGTCTCCCCTCGACCGGCCGGGGAAGAGACTCACCTTCTGGTCCCCAAAGAGCCGGGGGTTGTTGTTGACCTGGCGCAGGGCCAGCAGGGCGTGCTGGTGCTGCTGGAACTCCACGAAGGCGTACCCCAGGGACTGGCCCCGGCCCTTCAGCTCCCGCATCACCCGGCACTGGGGAGGGGGGGAGGACAGGCAGCAGTCGGGCACCCCGTGGAGGCTGGCCGGAGCCACCCAGAGGCCAAAGGCCGATTCCGGGCCTGTGGGGCCCAAAGGCTCCTCCGGAGCTCAGCACACAAAGCAGCAACTTCACTGCCACAAGAGACTTTGCCTGCCCAGAAGGGCCACGGGGAGCCCCGAGATCCCTCAGGGGGGGCTTCGCTTCAGACATCAGGAACCCCAAGGAGCTTCCGGGATTGGGGTCACGGAGACCCCTGACCCGGGATGGCTTTGGAATCCGAGAACCGCAGCCGTTCCGGAGAACTAGCAGCTCAGGAGCTTTCGGATGAGAAATGCTCGGGACAGCCCCCTCCCGGCGCATCCCCCCCCCGGTGGGCTCCTGGCTCAGACATGGAGTGGCCCCACCCTGCAGAAGCGGAGAAGAGACTGGGGGGGGGAGCCCAGAGACCCCCACTCTCCACTCTGGGCTTGCTCAGCTCCGGAGCACCAACCGCTTCCACTCCGATTTCTTGGGCTCCGGAAGCAGCGCTGGGGATCTGCAGTTCTTGCCCAGCTCCCCGGGAGGAGGAGGGCGCCTGGGCAGAGACCCGGTCCCGGCAGCGGGAGGGCGAGGCCCCCAGAGAGGCTGGGCCAGGCTCACCTCCTTGATCCTGGCACCGGCCGTGCCCTCCGCCGCCTGCAGCATGGTCTTCCGCAGGGCGGCCTCATCCACCCTCTTGGGCAGGTTGTGGACGCAGAGCCTCGTCTGGGACACAAAGACGTTCTGGTCCTTCAGCTTCTGCCGCTTCAGCTCCTCAAACTGGGAGGGAGGGAGGGGGGCCGTCAGAGCCCTGCCCGTCTTCCCCCAGCCCGGCCACCCACCGCCAAGTGCTGCTCTGGGCCCCCCCCGGTCCAAGCCCCTGCGGAGAGTCCAGCCACCGGGAGCCTGGCAGAGAGCAGCTTTCGTGGGTGGCCAAGGGAGAACCAGGGAGCCAGGAGGGCACTTAATCCCAGCGGGGGGACGGCACCTCCCCATCGGAAACCGTCCTGTCTCCACCCCGATTCGGGCTCTGCGGGCTGAGTGGCAGAGAAGAAGCCAGCTGCCTCCCGATGCCCCCCCTTTGACATCAACGCATCAGAGGGCATCGGTCATCCAGCCCCGGCCCCAGCAGAGGCTCTCAACAGCGAGGGCAGCCTTCAGAGGCCCCGGGCGGCCGAGCGTCTTGCGGGGCCCCTCAACAGCAGCCGGCAAGCGCAGACTGACGCTCCCCCCCCCAAACTGGCGCAGGAGGGCCACTCACCCGGGCCCTTTTGGCCAGGTCAGCATCACTGACCCCCTCCGCCGCTTTCGTGCCGGCCCGGATCACTGCGGAGGGAAAGGGAGGGTGAGGCCGGCCGGAGAGGACGGGGCCTTCACGGGTCACAGGCCGGCCAGAGGGTTAGGCTTGTGGTCCCCGGAGGGCTTCTCCCCCGGCAGGGCTGGGTCCAGAGGTCCCGGGGACGAGGGAGGGAGGGAGGGGCCCACTCACAGCCTTCCCGGGCCAGGTAGAGGTTGCGGGTGCCAGTCGGCTTCTGGGCCTTTGTGCTCCGCAGCTGCTGGGCTTCCTCACGGCTGACGGCCAGGTCCACCCGGAGACGGCGGCCCCCCAGATGGAGCCCCCGAGCCTTCCAGGGAGGAGAAAAGACGGTGAGAGGGAGGCGTCCTGGGGAGGGGCTCCCCCCTGCCATCACCCCACAGCCTCCTGCTCTCACCTCGCTCTCCTCCTGTGCCATCTGCAGGCATTTCTGGGCAGCTTCCTGGGTGGCAAACTGGGCAAAGGCACAGCCTGAGGAGGGCAAAAGGGGGGGGGGAAGGCGATTGGAGGAAAGAAGCCAAGAAAAGATGGGGGGGGGCTTCTGAATGGCCACTGCAGGTGAGGGGGAGGCAAGGAAAAGATCAATTTTGGCCCTTGTTCTTATGCCTCCCGCAGAGGAACGGGGGGCCAAAGGGGTGTGGGTGCCTCCCCCCCGGCCGAGTGAGGACGGGGTCTGCAAGCCCCACTCACCCTTGGAGTGCTCCGTGTCAGGGTGCAAGACAATCCGGACATACTTCAGGTCCCCAAACTGCTCCAGCAGCTCCCCCAGCTCCTCCTCTTCCGTGTCAAAGGACAGGTTCCTGGGGGGAAGCAGAGGAGGCTCCCTCCACACCTGTCCCCACACCCCGGGGGGCGGAGGGGGGCAGCCAGGTCCGCCTGGCACAGGGTCCGTGCTGATACCAAGTGTGGCCGGGGCCCCCAGGCAGGAGCACCTCAGGAGCCCTCCCCGGAAATGAGGCAACAGCCCTCCAGCCCCCAGGGAGGCACCCAGCACCCTCCCCCCGCGGACCCACCTGAGGAAGACAGTCCGGCCCTCTGCGACATCCGAGCGGTGCTGCTTCTGCTCTGGGGCAGGCCCCTCTCCTGCAGAGACCAGGGGAGACCCAATCAGCCAGTGTCAGAGATGCCAGAGCCATGGGTGCGAAAACTCCGAGGGGGGGGGGAAGCAGGTATCACCCCTCCCTCTGCTGAGACTCTCCCCAGAGGCCTCCGGGTCTGGCAAGGCGGCCCTCGGGAGAAGCAGAAGCCTCTGGGAAGCCATCGGAGGAGATAACCGAACAGAAGCTGAGCAACAGCGGAATCCCCTCGGAGGACCCCCGTCGCCCTTTGGCCTAACGTAGGGAGTCCTTGACCTACAGCCGTTCGCTTAGTGACCATTTAGAGTTACAAGGGCACTGAAAAAGGTGACCTGTGACCCTTTTTCACACTTATGACCGTTGCATCATCCCTGCGGTCACGTGATCCAGAAGGGTCATGAGACAAAACTCACTTAACGACTCTCCTGTTTAGCAACAGAAATGTTGGGCTCAGCTGTGGTCATGTCAAGGACTACCTGTACGGGGTCTTCTCCTGCTGCTTCAAGGTGGGCAGAGTCTCCTCATCCAGTCCCTCCAAAGCGACTGAACCAACCTCCTCCTCCTTCCTCCTCTTCCTCAGCACTCTTCTCCTCCTCTTCCTCTTCGGAACTCCCAGCCTCGTCCGGCTCCTCCTCCTCCGGCTCCTCCTCCTCCTCCTCCGTGGAGCCGACTTCCTGCTCTCCGTCCTCGCTATCCGCGGAGGGCGTTTGGGGCTCGGGGTCCCTGCGAGGAGCAGAGGCCAGTCAGGGGGGACCAGCAAGGGGGTGTTTCTGGGAGGCAAAACCGAGGGGGGGGGGGGCTGGGCTGCTGGCTTTGGGCAGGAAGAGGAAGCTGCAGAGCTTGGCAACTGCCCACTGCTCTCCAGAGGGCAGCCCCAGCTGGCCACAAGCACCCAGGCTTCCGCCACAAGCAAACCCATTCCCCAGCTTCCCTGCGGCTCACCTGCCGCGTCTTCCTGGCCCTGCAGAGGCCGGTCTTCCTCCTTTTTCTTCCCTCCCGTCTGCGCCTTCCTGCTGGGCTCTCTTCTCTGAGGACGGACAGGGCAGGGAGAAGGTGAGGAGATGTTCTGAACCAGACCCTCAGGTCAAACCAGAGTGGGGCTTATTTGGTCACAGCAACATGTGAAGCCAGCCACTCCAAAATCTGGCTGCAAAAACCCCGTGGAAAGTCTTTTTACAGTAAAAAGAGGTGAAATCTTGGAGGGCAGAAAAGCCCCCCCCAAGCCCCTGAAATTGCCCACCCCAATTCACACAAGTCGGCCACTCACCGTCAGGGACACCTTCTGCCTGCGCAGCCTGGTACTTCTCCCGGGCCACCGCCCAATCCACAGCCACCGGACGCTCTGCAGGGAGTAAGGGGAAGGCTGAGGCTGGCTGGAGTGAGAGGCCCCAGACTCAGGTGAGGCTTACATGGGAGGACAAAAAGGTCACCCACCTCTTTGCCTGCTTTTAAAAACCTGACACGCCTCCCTCCACCTTCAGGCCTGCCCTGCTTAACTGCCAGGATGGCACGGGTCACTGCAGTGGAGGAAAGGGGTCTAAATAGATCAGATGGAGGCTACTGCACTCTTTCCCCAGATGACCAGGGTCATCCCCAGCTCCCCTCCTTGCCCACAGACCCACACTGACCCTGCATGAGGCAAAGCCCTCTGCAAGTCCATTTAGACCAAAAATAGAAGTCTCCGCACTGCCACACAGCACGGCCCAGGGGAAACTGCAGCCTAGAGCAGTGGTGGCGAACCTATGGCACGGGTGCCAGAGGCGGCACTCAGAGCCCTCTCTGTGGGCATGTGCGCCATCGCCCCATTCCTAGGCCTTCAGCTGGGTTTTATAAAACCTTTTCACTTTAGGCCTCCGCCGCCGTGTGCAAAAAAAAAAAAGTTCAATCAGTCAATTTCAACTTCTCGTGGGGAAAAAAAGATCTTGCAAAGTTGGAATTGATTGAACTTTTTAGTCCCACCCAGTCTGCCGTTATCACCGCAGCCACGCCCACCCAATGGGCCACACCCACCCAATGTGCCACGCCCACCCGGCACCCGACGATGCATAAGTGGGTTTTGGGCTGCAGTTTGGGCACTCGGTCTGTAAAAGGTTTGCCATCACCGGCCTAGAGAAACCCCAGCTTTCCCTCCTCAATCAGGGATGCGCACCCAATTTGGCCTAACCATGGAAATTGCTCGGGTACAGGGACTGGAACCTGCCCAGCTTCCCCAGATCCCCAGGAATTCCTGTCTTGCAGCCCTCAATTTCTGTAAAAACCCTGGCGTTTCCAGTGCTTGAGGTTCCTCCTTCCCATAAAGCAACATGGTTCTTCCCCTCAATATTCAGCCTGGGCTGCTTTTATATCCGGGACACCTTTGTGCCGTCGGCGCTCAGCCCTGCACAGAAGCGAAGACTGTGTGCGCAGACACAGAGGCAATTCTTCCCCCGAGGCTGGTGTCTGCCGAGCCACAGCTGGTCCCCCCCCTGCTCCTCTGGGAGCATCTCAGCACGAGAGGACGGATTCCCACCCAAATCCTGCTGGCCTGAACAGGTTGCAGGGACTCACCTTTGATCTCCTTCATGTTCATCCCCTTCAGGGCTTTTCCCGCTTCCAGGACATTCCTGAACTGCACAAAGGCGAAGCCGCGCAGCTTTCCATCTGGAAGGGAAGATCAAGGCGTTCACACATTCCCCAGGCCAGCTTCTTCCCCACATCGCAGGAACTGCAGCTTCTGCCCTTCAGAGGGAGGGGGACAAAGCAGCCCCTCGCCCAGAGCAGTCTCCTGGATTCTCCCACTCCATATACGATGGGAGGGAGAGAGTCCACCAACAGCCGTCACCCCTGACCTGCAGAAGGAAAGGCTGCCAAGGGAGGAGCCTTGGGGAGGGGGATGGCAGTGCAGCCCCTGCCCACCTACCTGGTTTCCTGGGCAGGGAGGCTTCCAGGACGGTCCCAAAGGGAGCAAAGGCGCTCTTCAGGTCGCCCTCGGTGCACTGGGGGGGGGGAGAAGCAAAAGGGCAGCCCGGGCTCAGGCAGCGGCTCGGCCTTCGGCTGGCCACGGGGAGCTCCGAGCGGGGGGGGGAAGAGCCAGGCGGCCGCCCCCTCCCAGGCCGGGGAACAGACGCCCCCCCCGCCCGGCGCCCCCTCCTACCTTGAAGCTGAGGTTGCGGACGATCAGCCGGGCCTTCTTGGGGGGCCCCCTGGCCTTGGGGGGCTGCTGCGCCGGCGGGGGCGCCTCCGGGGGGGCCTCTGGGGGAGAGAGCCGCGGGGCGCGTGAGGGGGGCCCAGGGCAGGGATCCCTCCCGCCTCCCGCCCCCCCCGCAACCCCCCCGCCGCTCACCTGCGCCGCCTCCGCCTCCCGCCCTGCGCCGCTTCGGCCGCGCCAACGCCAGGCTGACCCGGCGGCCGCCGAAGGTGCGGATCTCGCGCAGGGCCCGCTGCGCATCCTCCGGCAGGGAGAAGCAGACGAAGCCCAGCCCGGTGCACGCCTCGCCGCCTGCAACGACCGCGCCGCCCGTCAGGACCCGTGTGTGGGGGGGGCGCCCTCCTCCCCCGCCACCGCCACCGTCCTTCCCCCCCGCACTCACCGGGCGCCGTCACGGCCACCGCCCGCCGCACCGGCCCCACCTGCCCGAACTCCCGCTCCAGTTGGGCGGCGCGGGCCGAGGGGGGCAGCCCCCGCACCAGCACCGTCCGCCCCGTCCCGCCGGGGGGGCACGCGTGAGGACCGGGCGCCGCCATCTTGCGCCTCCCGGAAACAGTCGGCTGGCCGGCCGGAAGCGCGGGCGCCCCCTCCAGGCGCGGCGGGGAAGGGCGAGTCCGCCGGGTGGCGCGAGTGCGCATGCCCGGGGCGGGCGGGGCTTTCCTCCCCTGTCTGCCTCTGTGGGGCGGGGCTCCCCGATCGGTCCGTGCGCAGCCCCCGCGAGTGGGGCGGGGCCCGCCGGCAGGGGCGGGGCCCGGGTCCGCGGGTCAGCCAAGAGGTACCGGGGGGGGGCGGGGGAGGTAGGCTGCGAACACAGCGGTTTTGTCCCAACCTTCGCCGGGGATGGCTCGGACTGGCGCTTCTCTTCGGCTCCCGCCCCTTTGTGGATTCCCTTGCTCTGGGGGGGGGAACTGTGTGTACATGTGTCCCTGGAGGTCATCTAGTCCAGCCCTCTGCCCGGCACGAGGTTCCTCAGGCCATCCCCGAGAAAGGATGGTGGCTTTGAACCCCAAGGAGGAGCCCCTGCTTTGTGGCCCCGAGAGTCTTGAGCTGGGCTCCGTCTCTGCCAGGCTGGGTCTTCTCCTGCCCTCCGGAGCTCCGGAGCAAAACTTCTGAGTCACCCCGTAGGGGAGACGGGGCGGCATAAACATTGAATAAATAAAATAAAGTAAAATAACTGCTCCCCGCCTTCCCCTGGCCAGCCTTTTGAGGCTGGGAGGCCTTCCTCTTCTGGAGGCTAAAGATTCCCCGGAAATCTTCCCAGGATGTAGCTGTGATCCTGGTCGCTCTTCTCTGCCCCATTTCCAGTCCCTCTGTGACCTCCTTGTATCCCGGGGGCCAGAAGTGGGCCCAGTCTTCCAGGACTCCCCTGAGCAGGGCGTGTGGGGCAGGTATCCCTCCCTGGGACCTCAGTGGTTTACCTCTGTTGGGGCAGCCCAAGATCCATCAGCTGTTCTGGCAGGGGAGGGCCAGCTGCTCTCCTCCAACGCTTCCTTTCCTCATATGTGTGTGTGTGTGTGTGTGTGTAGGCAGCTGTACTTGTTTGCATCCCTTTTGCCGTAGGAAACAAGGCCAGATTTTTTAAAAATTGGAACCTGGCACTTTTTTAGGGGAGAAGCTTCCCGTCTCGACTGCAATGGAGTTTTCTACTGGTAGGTTGATTTGATGGCTTCGCCCCCCCCCCTTCGCCCTCATGCAGTCCTTAGCCAGGCCATCCATTTGCTGACAGAGCAGGCCAGAGAGATCAGTGCCACCAACATGGACCTCATTGGGTCCTACAAAGCGTGAGTTGGAAAGACACTTAGAGGTCATCTAAACAATCCTTGACAATCACTCAACCAACGCACTTTGAAAGTGTTTGGTGAGTGGGAAGTCGCCATTCCCGGCAGAGGGTGCTGTTGATTTACAACTCTGGCACCACAGAAATCTCTGACGCTGCACAGAATCTGCCTCCGTTACGTTTGGACTGGCTGATTGTCCTCCTCTGGGTTTCCACCGTGGAGAAGAATCTTTTACCCAGGACGGAGGTTTGCAGACCCCTCTCCTTCCTCCTTGGCAGGTTCGGCCTCCCAGCTCCTGTAAAGCTTCCTTGCAGGGTTGGCGTTCAAGCTCCTGATCGTCTCGGAAGCTCTCGCTACGTCTCTCTTAAGACTGGTGCCCAAAACTGGAGAAGAGTGACCGGAACATCCCAAAGTGCAACGGAACTATTGCCCGCCCTGCCCGCCCACCTCCCCTCCCCCGCCTGGCTGTGGTGCTTCTGCTAATGGCATTTGGCTTCTTAGCTGCCACATCGGCCTGCTTGCCCACGTTCAGCTGGAGATCCCAGATCTTGTCACGTGCACAACCAGGACTTCTGCTGGCACTTGGGCTTCTTCCTGTGTAAAGAGATTCCGCACTGACCTTCATCCTCCGGGGTCTGTCTGGCCCAGGGGCCAAGCCTGTCGAGGTCAGGTTGTCCTGCAAGGACAGCCTGGTATCTTCTGAAAATGCCCTCCCCATCTTGGCCATTTTTAAAGTTGCGGGAGAGCCTCGGCTGAGGATTCGCCGCCTCCCTCTGGAATGACTCAGAGGCCGGGTGGGCAGCAGGGATGGCTCAGTTGCAAAACCACCCTCGTGCCCGTATCTGCTTGACTGGATTGCCAATCTGGGGCTCTGACTGAGCTGGTGCCAGGTTGCCATCTGCCTCTCCGGTTCGAATCTGGCTGGGAACAGATCCTCAAGATGGTCCGTGGGCTGCTTCAGAAGGGGCAAAGCTGGCTGCCAGCCTCAGCTGCGTCCACCAGAGGGCGGCAGAGTCCTGTGGAAACCAGTTACTAAGCAACGTGGATGGGGGGGGAGGCACGTGCCCTGTGCATGCCTGCACAAATGCACCTTGGCACACACGTGGCTCCAACCCGGCCTTGCCCGCTGTGGCTGCTCCTGGCAGATGCCAAACGGGTGCCCTCCCCCCTGCCTCCCTCCTGTATTCTGAACATAGATGGCAATCAGGCCTCTGGGCTGGCTGGGTCCCAAAATGGAAGTTCTCCCGACACCTCCTGGGTCCAAACTGCCCGTCCCCTGGTGTGGCAGCCCCTGCCAATCCAGAGGCTCCCTGGGGGCCACGGAGGGGGGGGCAGAAGGGCACCCCCAGGCCCTCCTTGGCTGGCCTACCTCTTTTGCTCAAGATAAAATGGAGGCCTCGCCCCCCCCTTGACCTTTAGAGGTCAGACTCAGGATCAGGACCGCCAGCGCTTTCCGCCTTCTCAAGTCTGTCTTTGGATCTCTCCCCCCCCCTGTGTGCTGGCCTGGCCAGAGCCCGACCCCTGGAGCCCTCCCTCCATGGCAGCTGCAGTCCAAGGCTTGACCACCACTGGCCCCAGCTGCCCCTCGGCTCATCCCCTTTTGCGGTGAATGGCTGCGGGCATCTTCAGACACACCTTAAGCACCTGCACAGCTGCTCCCTAACCACAACGCCATTTGTGTGTGTTGCACCTGCTGCCTTCCCCTGATTCCCTGTCCTGCCCCCTTTCCAGGCATCCCTCCCCCCACCCTTTTCCCCTGGCACTTGGCCCCGATTCAGGGGGGGTCAGAAGAGGCAAAACGCCACCAAAGCCTCACCACAACGGCCTGTAGGAGGACGGGGGGGGGCAGTGGGTAAAGCAGCTGCCCCATTGCCTGCCCCCCAACTGAAGGCTTTGCTCTGTTCAGTAATACCCAGAGCCCCCTCTTGCAGAAACCACCTCCTGGTGCATTAGGCATACACAGGTGGTCCTCGACGTACAACCGCAATTGAGCCCAACATTTCCCTTGCTGAGCAAGATGGTTGTTAAGTGAATTTTGCCCCATTTTACAAGCTTTCTTGCCACGGTTGTTAAGTAGATCGCTTCAGTTGTTAAATGAATCCGGCTTCCCCATTGACTTTGCTAGTCAGAGGGTCGCAAAAGGGGATGTGGCCCCCTGGGACGCTGCGACTGTCGTAAATATGAATCAGTTGCCAAGCCTCTGAATTTGGATCACGTGACCCTGGGGATGCTGCACGGTTTGTAAGTGTGAAAAATGGTCAGAAGTCGCTTTTCCCAGGGCGGTTGTAACTTCAAATGGTCACTAAACGAACAGTTGTAAGATGAGGACTACTTGTAAGGCCCTGTAAAGCCCGGACGTACCTTGCAAAAGGGAATTCCGGTTGAGCTTCAGAGCGAAAGACGCCCCAGCAGGTGGCTGTGAGGCTACTAGAGAAGGCTGCAGTCGGGGGAGGGCAGGGGCACACAACACGCAATGAAACCTTGTGCACAAAACACACGGCCGGCGGGGCCTCTGCTGGACACAGAGCAAGGGAAGGCGGAGGGAGGGCAGCTCACCTGCTCCTGCGGCCCAGGAAAGAGCCAGCCAGGTGTGCCAAAGAGCAAAAGAGGCTGAGCAGGCTGGCATGACCCCCAGCCCCTCCGTTGGGGGCCCAGCAGCAGTTGGGATGCAGCACCCACAAGGTGACCAGAGGGCAAGAGGCTGTTTTGTGGTGATGGAAGCAGCTGGAAGGTGCCCCCTTGTGTTCTCTCTATTTCCTTCCTAGGGTGGGGGGAGGGGGGCACAATGGTCTCACGAAACAGGGTGGAAGACGGGCTGAAACTCAGGAGGGAGATGGGGGCTCTCCTTCGCCAGGGCCCGGAGGGAGGCCAAGCTGCTTCCTGCATCCACTGAGGCTTTGTTTAAAAAAAAGGCCACTGGCCCGAAGAGGCTTCAGGCAGACCTCGTGAGGCTGAAGGTCTCCCCAAGCCCCTCTCCCCCTGCCTCATTTCCCAGGAGGTCGAGCAGAGATGAGTGGGGTCTCCTGGCACCTTTCCAACTCAGCCCAGGGAGGTCCAAAGTGGTCCTAACAGCAGCCCCCACAACAGGGGTCAGATCCTGAGTTCCTTCACTCATCCTTTCGTCAGATGCGAGGATTCCAGGGGGTCCCAGTGAGGGCCTTTCCCATCGGTGCCCCTTCCCCATCTGTGATGCCTCGGCCGCTGCCCATTGCAGCCCGTGGAGAGCTGTCCAGAGCCGCACTCGGTCTGCATCGGGCAGCTAATCGTTGCTGCCTCGTGAAGCGATGGCCAGCCAGGGCAGGGGCTGGAGAGCAGGTGGTGAGGAGGTGGGGGACGGACCTCCCCCCTTCCCTCGGCTGTGCCAGTCCTGGCCGGCAGGGGCGGCTGATTTCGGTACAACCGGAGCTGCCCATCTCCCCCTGCCCTCACCTGGAGGAGCAACACGGGATAGAGATGAATGGGGAAGACGCCCCAAAGAGCAGGCCTCCTGCCTCTGTGACGGGAGAGCCGGGCCAGGGACTCTGCGGCTGAGAAAGTAGGTGGCCTCCGTTTGGCCTGGATGCTGCTACAAGCAGAGGGGCTTGCAAGGATCTCGGCCAGCCCAGCCTGGCAGGCACGTAATTCTGCCTCATGGGCAGAGGCTCATGGTGCTTAGCCAGCTCAAGCCAGCTCACGAATTGAACTTCTGCCTGCAGCCTGTCCAGATAACCCCTGTGTGGCTCTCTCCTTCCCCCAGAGACCCTTCGGGCCCTTCTCAG